GGACATACGATTTTTACGCGGTACGCGCTTCAGCACTCGGCGGTCCCGTTCTGTGAGCTGGTGTGGCCTACCACTTCGCGGCTGAGCCGTTGTTGCTCCTAGACGTTTCCACTTCACAATAACAGCACTTACAGTTGACAAGGGCAGAAATTTGACGAACTGACTTGTTGGCAAGGTGGCATCCTATAACGGTGCCACGTTGAAGGTCACTGAGCTCTTCAGTAAGGCCATTCTAATGCCAATGTTTGTCTATGGAGATTGCATGGCGGTGTGCTCGATTTTATACACCTGTCAGCAACAGGTGTGGCTGGAATAGCCGAATCCTCTAATTTGAAGGGGTGTCCACATACTTTTGTATATATAGTGTACATACATACATATAGTGGGGAGAACAAGTATTTGATACACTGCCGATTTTGCAGGTTTTCCTACTTACAAAGCATGTAGAGGTCTGTAATTTTTATCATAGGTACACTTCAACTGTGAGAGACGGAATCTAAAACAAAAATCCAGAAAATCACATTGTATGATTTTTAAGTAATTAATTTCCATTTTATTGCATGACATAAGTATTTGATCACCTACCAACCAGTAAGAATTCCGGCTCTCACAGACCTGTTAGTTTTTCTTTAAGAAGCCCTCCTGTTCTCCACTCATGACCTGTATTAACTGCACCTGTTTGAACTCGTTACCTGTATAAAAGACACCTGTCCACACACTCAATCAAACAGACTCCAACCTCTCCACAATGGCCAAGACCAGAGAGCTGTGTAAGGACATCAGGGATAAAATTGTAGACCTGCACAAGGCTGGGATGGGCTACAGGACAATAGGCAAGCAGCTTGGTGAGAAGGCAACAACTGTTTGGCGCAATTATTAAAAATGGAAGAAGTTCAAGATGACGGTCAATCACCCTCGGTCTGGGGCTCCATGCAAGATCTCACCTTGTGGGGCATCAATGATCATGAGGAAGGTGAGGGATCAGCCCAGAACTACATGGCAGGACCTGGTCAATGACCTGAAGAGAGCTGGGACCACAGTCTCAAAGAAAACCATTAGTAACACACTACGCCGTCATGGATTATAATCCTGCAGCGCACGCAAGGTCCCTCTGCTCAAGCCAGCGCATGTCCAGGCCCGTCTGAAGTTTGCCAATGACCATCTGGATGATCCAGAGGAGGAATGGGAGAAGGTCATGTGGTCTGATGAGACAAAAATAGAGCTTTTTGGTCTAAACTCCACTCGCCTTGTTTGGAGGAAGAAGAAGGATGAGTACAACCCCAAGAACACCATCCCAACCGTGAAGCATGGAGGTGGAAACATCATTCTTTGGGGATGCTTTTCTGCAAAGGGGACAGGACGACTGCACCGTATTGAGGGGAGGATGGATGGGGCCATGTATCGCGAGATCTTGGCCAACAACCTCCTTCCCTCAGTAAGAGCATTGAAGATGGGTCGTGGCTGGGTCTTCCAGCATGACAACGACCCGAAACACACAGCCAGGGCAACTAAGGAGTGGCTCTGTAAGAGGCATCTCAAGGTCCTGGAGTGGCCTAGCCAGTCTCCAGACCTGAACCCAATAGAAAATCTTTGGAGGGAGCTGAAAGTCCGTATTGCCCAGCGACAGCCCCGAAAACTGAAGGATCTGGAGAAGGTCTGTATGGAGGAGTGGGCCAAAATCCCTGCTGCAGTGTGTGCAAACCTGGTCAACACCTACAGGAAACGTATGATCTCTGTAATTGCAAACAAAGGTTTCTGTACCAAATATTAAGGTTCTGCTTTTCTGATGTATCAAATACTTATGTCATGCAATAAAATGCAAATTAATTACTTAAAAATCATACAATGTGATTTTCTGGATTTTTGTTTTAGATTCCGTCTCTCACAGTTGAAGTGTACCTATGATAAAAATTACAGACCTCTAAATGCTTTGTAAGTAGGAAAACCTGCAAAATCAGCAGTGAATCAAATACCTGTTCTCCCCACTGTACATACAGGCCTAGCCTATGCATAAAATAACATTATTGAATCTAAAAATAAATACAGTACATTGTTACACAATATTTTCTGATCTCGGTTCTGAAAATAAACACTACCATGATCACAAAAAAATAATAAATAATTAAAGATGAACTATAACAATATGAAAATGCATGAAATACCTCTATCTTGGATCAAGGACATCTGCAAAAAACAAAAAGGATACATAAATTACAAGTAATTTGAGCTTGTTTACATGGAAACATGGGAGAGATGTTCCACCAACCAGTTCACCTGTGAAACACAAAGCAGTTTCCTCTTATGGAACACGCCAACAGAAAACACTGGTAGCTTTCTCACCAATAAATCTACCTACGTAGAACATTTACAGAGAAAGCCACCTGACCAGTCCTACTTCAAGTCCTTGTTGTGTGTTGATTCTCACGAGGCCTCCTCCCAGCCAGGTGAAGTGCTGATAGTTGGAGTATCAGGGTGAGTGAGAGCGGTGATGTGCCCCTGGCCCTACCCCTGGCCTGCTGTGGGAAACCTGGTGCCTCTTCATGGTGTCTTTGAGTTTGAAGGTCTGTCCACAGTCCGTACATTGAAAGGGTCTCTCCCAGGAGTGGATGCGTGTGTGTTTGTTCAGGGTGCGGCGGTGGCAGAAGGCCTTCCCACACACCCCACAGACGAAGGGCCTCGCTCCCGTGTGAATATTCCTGTGCTCCTCCAGGTTCCTCTGCTGGGCGAAGCAGCAGCCACAGTCTGGGCACTGGTGGGAGGGCGAGGGTGATGGCGGGCGAGTGTGGAAGGAGGGTGAAGGAACACTTGGGGGGGTCCCCCAGGTCAACTGTCCGTCTTCAGAGATTAGCCTTGTGTACCTGGCAGTTAGCTCCGTCTCGTCACTAGAAGCATTACTCCGCAGTCTGTCTATCACTGGGCTGTCCTGGACCTGTGGATGATAGGCATCAGGAGCTAGGGGTGACTGTGGGGAGGGGATCTGACTAGACACTGTGGGTGTTGGATGCGTGTACATGGTGGAGGAGAGAGGGTTGTTTCTGGAAAGGAAGATGTAAGGTGTGTCAACAGACATGCTTTCATGTCCTGTTGTGCTCACAGACATTTGGATGGGCTTTGGAGGAGCACTCTTCTGATGCCAGTCAGGGTCCTCGATTTCCTGCTTACACACAAATATGGACCCTTCCTCTGGGACCCCCTTATGCTCGTCCTTCTCCTCCTGATAGCTGGCCACCCCCATGTCAGGAATCTCCAGGCTGAAATGGACAGACTCCAGTTTAACTGTCTCCAACTGGTTGAGAAATGACTTGGTCAAAGCATCTGGCTGATCACTGGTGCTCTGCATCTTGACACTCCTGTAAATTCAAAAAATTATATACAATCAAGGGCACTTACATTTCAAGAGATGAAGGTTAATCATAGTGAATCGTTATGATTTGAATGTGACTAAACAATTAAACTTAAGACACTGAGGATGATAGAATAACTGAAGATACGATAAGCTCAATAGCAGCCACACATTGACCTACCCTTGTTCTTGTGCCTCTGTTGAGCTCTGTGCTGTGTCTGTATGTGTAGGGGCAGGCGAGGAGACGGTGAAGACCCCAGACCCAAGCCGCTGCTCAGCCATGCTGATTGCTTCCTCCATATCCCTGGGTTGCTGCTTCTGCACCCAGGCACCAGCCTCCTTTGGCAAGATGGACAGAAACTGCTCCATGGCAACACACTGCTCTACTTGTGCAGCAGTCCTTAGGTCAGGCCTAAGCCAGTGCTTAGCAGCTGAGTCAAGCCTCTGCCCCAGCTCTCTGGCTCCCTTCTGGGGGTCGTACCTCAGAGACAGGAAGTCCTGCCTGCTCTTGTCCTCCACAGTCCACATCTGTCCCTGTACCCTGGTCTGGAAGGCATTAGACAACCCCTGGGGTCTGATCGGTTGACTCTCCTTCTGTGTCTCCTCTTGCAGCAGCCCAGCCAGCCTAGCACCCCAGTCCTCTGGGTCTTTATCTCTCCCTGGTGTCATCCTAGGCCTTCTCTGTTCCTCTTCATCCTGCGGTGAAGACCGGTCAAGGGTTTTGGTTAAACCATCCTTGACCAGCTGGCTGAGGACATTGGCCTGGATCTCCCCCTGTCTGGTCAGAGCTTTCAGCTGTTGTTTATGCACATCCAACAGGGACACGAGGAACTCAACCACATTCATATTGATTGCAGGTGCCTATGGTGAGGGCAGTAAAAAATACGTTTTCACTAGCTGGCAGGGACAGAATGACCAGCTGGATCACGAAGGCATGTATTACCCCCAAATCATTGTTAGCTAATTATTCGAGTCAAATTTCCAGTACCATCACTGCAACTTAGCTAGTTAGCAAGGTGGACAACCCGTGATTTAAACGTTTTTTTTAAGGATAGCAAAATGATCGTATTATCTGAAAATGTATTACAAAGAATAGAAAATAACTCAAAGTAATAGTAGTTACCTGTGATGGTTAATTACTCGCCGTGGACGTGTCAGTAACTAGCTAGCTACAAATAATGTTTTGACAACAATGGACGAGAGGAATCTTTACCAAAATAACAAAAGAAGCCTTAGCCTTACGTTAAGTAACGTTATTTTTCTACCTGTGCTGTGGTTTTGGTCAGCTTGATAGTCGGTGGAAGTTGTCTATCTAGCCTGGCTTGTCAGCTAGCGCGTTAATTTAGCTAGTTAGCTAGCCTACTTAACTGCGCTAACGTTAGCTAGCCAGCTATCCCTCATCCAGAGGGAAAATTAAATGAGGCAAGCAGCTGAATATGGTGACAGGCACATTAACTAGCTAGATGTACAACATTTTTAACTTTCACAACCTCTTGGATCACGTGTTAGAAACCTAGCTAATTAAGGCTGAGTTGGCTATCAACATTTTATTTTCACATAATGTATTATAACGTTACACCCAAGTTGTTATCTTCATTGCCCAGTGGCACAATCATTGCCATATGTTTATAATCATAGATACTCCAAGAGTGGAACCATGGATGTGGTGCGGTTATTTACAAACCTACTAGCAGTGCACAGACAGCAGCTACAGGCCCTGGCTGTAAAGGGAGAGATCCAGACTGAGGCTATGGCACAGTTACTGAGGAGGTGGATGATCAATCCTGAGCCCAGTCAGGGCTGAACAGAGCCGACAGCAGCAGGGCTTCAGCTCTGTGAGGTATGACCCAGGGAGCTGGGGCAAGGGCTGGAGAGTGCTGCCTGAGAGGAGGACGAATGTGGTGAGGTGTGTGGCCTTGCAGAGGTTTGTGTCCCTCCTGCCCAAAGACGTTGGAGACTGTGTGCTGAAACAGTGCCCCCAGGAGATGGAGGAGGCTATCTGCATGGCTGAGGAGTACCTGAAGAACACACCTGGGGAGGAGAGCAGTGAAATGGACAACCACTCTGATGGAGAGGGGTACTATGTAGACCAACAGAGAGAAGAAGAAGCAGGGTAGGGCCAGATCATGTTTTGAGTGTTTCTTACACTAGGAAGCGTTAAATATGTTGCCTACAAATATTGTGGGTTTGTTGGAATGCATTTGTTGATATACTGTCTATTTCCATTTATTTTCAGACATGCAGAACATAAAGTTAACTGTGAGAAGATGAAAGTCACAGGACCATGGCCAGGGTTGTTTCTGAAGAGGATAGACATGTCTAAAGTCTGCCAGTACATTAGTTTCAATATAGATGCCAGACATCTGGATGACATTTACAGTGAGGATAGGAGACTTGATGGGGAAGATGATTTTGTTGAGGAAGACAATTTTGCTGAACATGAGGACTGGGTTAAGGAGGAGATAAAATACAACAGCCAGGCTGAGGTAAAGGTTGAGATCGGGTCAGTCTCTGAGATGGGACAGTCTATTGACATGGCTAGAAATACTGAGAATGTTGAGAGGGGTCAGCTAAGAAAGATAGCAAATCAGATGCCTGTAACTGGGAGGGCCAAGAGAGGTGTATCTGCCCCTGTCATCTCCTCGTCCAGCCCTAACACCGCTGAGAGAGAGACCCTCTCCTGCCTGAAACGTAAAAACAAAAAAGATCCCTCCCATAGACCAAGCCACTGCTGTCCTGACTGTGGTAAGAGTTACAAACGGGCTGACTTTGTCAGTTAAAACAGTTGCAGTGCCTTCCCTAAATTCCACTGTCCTGACTGTGACCAAACCTTTGTTTCACAGACATGCCTGAACCACCACCGCAGAAGCCATAATAAGGTTCTGAGCTGCCCTGAGTGTGGGAAGCAGTTCAGGGACAAGTATAATCTGAAATGTCACATAAGGACCCACACAGGTAAGACCCCTTATACAGTGGGGGAAAAAAGTATTTAGTCAGCCACCAATTGTGCAAGTTCTCCCACTTAAAAAGATGAGAGAGGCCTGTAATTTTCATCATAGGTACACGTCAACTATGACAGACAGAATGAGGAAAAAAATTCCAGAAAATTATATTGTAGGATTTTTAATGAATTTATTTGCAAATTATGGTGGAAAATAAGTATTTGGTCAATAACAAAAGTTTCTCAATACTTTGTTATATACCCTTTGTTGGCAATGACACATGTCAAACGTTTTCTGTAAGTCTTCACAAGGTTTTCACACACTGTTGCTGATATTTTGGCCCATTCCTCCATGCAGATCTCCTCTAGAGCAGTGATGTTTTGGGGCTGTCGCTGGGCAACACGGACTTTCAACTCCCTCCAAAGATTTTCTATGGGGTTGAGATCTGGAGACTGGCTAGGCCACTCCAGGACCTTGAAATGCTTCTTACGAAGCCACTCCTTCGTTGCCCGGGCGGTGTGTTTGGGATCATTGTCATGCTGAAAGACCCAGCCACGTTTCATCTTCAATGCCCTTGCTGATGGTAGGAGGTTTTCACTCAAAATCTCACGATACATGGCCCCATTCATTCTTTCCTTTACACGGATCAGTCGTCCTGGTCCCTTTGCAGAAAAACAGCCCCAAAGCATGATGTTTCCACCCCCATGCTTCACAGTAGGTATGGTGTTCTTTGGATGCAACTCAGCATTCTTTGTCCTCCAAACACGACGAGTTGAGTTTTTACCAAAAAGTTATATTTTGGTTTCATCTGACCATATGACATTCTCCCAATCCTCTTCTGGATCATCCAAATGCACTCTAGCAAACTTCAGACGGGCCTGGACATGTACTGGCTTAAGCAGGGGGACACGTCTGGCACTGCAGGATTTGAGTAGTGTGTTACTGATGGTAGGCTTTGTTACTTTGGTCCCAGCTCTCTGCAGGTCATTCACTAGGTCCCCCCGTGTGGTTCTGGGATTTTTGCTCACCGTTCTTGTGATCATTTTGACCCCACGGGGTGAGATCTTGCGTGGAGCCCCAGATCGAGGGAGATTATCAGTGGTCTTGTATGTCTTCCATTTCCTAATAATTGCTCCCACAGTTGATTTCTTCAAACCAAGCTGCTTACCTATTGCAGATTCAGTCTTCCCAGCCTGGTGCAGGTCTACAATTTAGTTTCTGGTGTCCTTTGACAGCTCTTTGGTCTTGGCCATAGTGGAGTTTGGAGTGTGACTATTTGAGGTTGTGGACAGGTGTCTTTTATACTGATAACAAGTTCAAACAGGTGCCATTAATACAGGTAACGAGTGGAGGACAGAGGAGCCTCTTAAAGAAGAAGTTACAGGTCTGTGAGAGCCAGAAATCTTGCTTGTTTGTAGGTGACCAAATACTTATTTTCCACCATAATTTGCAAATAAATTCATAAAAAATCCTACAATGTGATTTTCTGGAATTTTTTTTTCTCAATTTGTCTGTCATAGTTGACGTGTACCTATGATGAAAATTACAGGCCTCTCTCAGAACTTGCACAATTGGTGGCTGACTAAATACTTTTTTTCCCCACTGTACCTGTACGGACTGCGGGGACGTCTTTGCTCAGCTGAAAGGGCTGCGGGAGAAACCGCAACATCCACACAGGAGAAAGGCCATTCTGCTGCAGTGTGTGTGGGGAGGGCTTCCATCACAGCCGCACCCTGACAAAACACAAGCTTCTTCACTCCCAGGAGAAGCCCTTATTCTGTTCCCGCTGTGGAAATAGCTTTAAACTCAATGACAACTTGCTGAAAGCATGTACCTTGATGGAGATCAGGGTTTTCATCAGAAAGACATTGAGACTTTGTACCAAGTCCCAATTGGAATTGACTCTATTTAATAATTGGACACAGGGTATGGGAATGTTACTGTATGCAAATAAAGTCAGTACCACCCACAGTGTAAACAACTGCATTCCATATTTTGTAACTAATACGTTTTCATCTGTTCCTAAATTCTAGGTAAAAAAAGAAGGGACATTTCAAAAAATGACATTCATATTCATTATCTCCAGCACCACCCCAACATCAAAATGGTGCATGTCTATGTTCTGAAGTCGAGATGGAGAAGGATACGTTTCTGATGAGCTCATCCGGAAAACCGTTTGACATTATCTGGTACTTTACTAACCTTTGCCTGCTCGTAGCCTGTAGTGTGTATTCATCGATGCCAAGGGAAGCCAGGCTTCCCAAAAAAATTGACTAAGAAAAAAAACATACAAAATAATTTATATTTAGTCTCTCTCTGTGTTTCATAAATTTCCTTCAATTCGCAAGAGGCTGAATGTATCTCACCGGAGAAAACATCTGAGCAAACGGAACAGCACCCCTCTGTTTCAGTATGTGTAGCCCAACTATCTGATGCTGTCTGAGTGGCGCAGTGGTCTAAGGCACTGCATCGCAGTGCTAGCTGTGCCACTAGAGATCCTGGTTCGAATCCAGGCTCTGTCGTAGCCGGCCGTGACCGGGAGACCCATGGAGCGGCGCATACTTGGCCCTGCGTCGTCCAGGCTAGGGGAGGGAATGCAACGCCAGGGTTGTGGGTTCAATTCCCACGGGGGGCCAGTATGAAAAATAAAAGAATGTATGCACTCACTAACTGTAAGTTGCTCTGGATAAGAGCGTCTGCTAAATGACTAAAATTTTAATGTCTGGTAGCATTGAATGCAAGGGAAGCCAGCTAGCCTTTGGCCTTCCTTGATAAAAAAATTAATATAATAATAATAATAGCTAAACTGAGTGAGCTTAGCTGTAAATGGTCCTGGTGCACCATAAAAAGTGTCAAGGGAAGCCAGTTTGCATTTGGCTTCACATCAGTCACATCACCAGAATCCAAACGTCATTGACAGAAAACATTTGAATTGCTGCATCTCGTTGTGTTGTTGTCCTCCGGTGGCTAGCAAGCTAAAATCAGCTCATTCCTAAATTAGCCACTGTGTTTTTACAACCGTCTTGAATTCTGTGTGGAAATGTATCCGTATGTCCTGACCTCTTTTATTATAATATTTTTTTTTTCATTTTTTAATGTCTGATGTTTGAATGTTGTCTGTTCGTATATAATGTTAATATGTTCACCTGTCCGGGGATTGCAGATGGAAATTAGCTGTTGGCTAAATCTGATACAATGCATATTTTCTCAAGTGTACTGAGACAATGTTATACATTGTCCTTGTTCAAATAAACTTCATAATATGTTAAAATCCATGATCAATCCAATAATAAAAAATAATACATCCATTAGCAGACGCTTTTATCCAAAGCGACTTACAGTCATGCGTGCTACATATATTTTTTTTTTTGTGTATGGGTGGTCCCGGGGATCGTAACCCATACCTTGGCTTACAAGCGCCGTGCTCTACCAGCTGAGCTCACGAGGAACCAGATGATGTCAAAAGTGTTTCTGATGATATCATCTGGGGAAAAAATGTTGGGGACATCATCTGGTGTGCATCTTTTTGACTATAAAACAAACATGTGCCTTTTTCACATAAGTTAATGTTTAATTTACAGGTTGTTGGCCGGGCTTACTTTGAATATTGCTGCTTTCAGCTAACTAAATGACTCCATATGTTTCAACATTAAACATTTAAAAACATCAGGCCTACTTGAGTGGACATTATTTATTCTCCACATTAATCTAGCAACATTTAAGTTGCTACACCAGTTTCCCCATAATTAACATTTGAAGAAGCACAAATACTATTTTGGAGTCCCTGACGAGTGTGACAAATGTGTGCAGGTACTATATGAGTGTAAAGATGATTGGTCAGAAGCAGCCGAATGGATTGTACAATAGCCTGAGAAACTGTCAAACTCTATGCAAGTAAGATAACCATGAAAGTGTGCATAAACACTAAACAAAAATATAAATGTTCCATACACGCAAAAAGCTTATTTCTCTCAAAATAAATGCACAAATTGGTTTACATCCCTGTTGGTGAGCATTTCTCCTTTGCCAAGATAATCCATCCACCTGACAGGTGTGGCATATCAAGAAACTGATTAATAGCATGATCATTACACAGGTACCGTTTGTGCTGGGGAGAATAAAAGGCCACTCTAAAATGTGCAGTTTTGTCCCACAACACAATGCCACAGATGTCTCAAGTTTTGAGGGAGCGTGCAATTGGCATGTTGACTGTAGGAATGTCCACCACAGCTGTTGTCAAATAATTGAATGTTCATTTCTCTACCATAAGGGACTTATTTCAATTGACTGATTTCTTCATATGAACTGTACCTCAGTAAAATCGTTGAAATTGTTGCGTTTAGCGTTTATTTTTGTTCAGTATAATTATGTAGCCTCGGATGCTGTAACTGTGTGCAGTGCATGGAACTAAAGCTTTAATACAGAATCCATACTGATGAGTGCTCAGGGAAAATAAACAGCAGACACTGCATATCCTCTTTTAATGCTGTATATATTTTACAGTTTTTATTACAATAATCATGTAGACAGCATGCTCCTTCTGACGAGCAAATACAGAGGCATCCTTGCCTGTCAAATCACCAGTCAATCATTTTTCAAAAGTATACAAAAATAAGTCAAAATACACAAAGCGAATATACACCAGATTAAACCCTTGTTCTGGAGGGTCTCTGTCTGCTTTTTGTAGCTCCATCTTTAACTGGTGAACTGTACATCAAATTAACTGAATGACATCACTCCAGGGTATTCCAGGGATAGTCAGGCCCTGGTTAGAGCACTCATAGTCAGGGACTGATTAATTACTGAAATTGTCGCATCACATTACCCTCTATCCATGTGATAGGTCAAAAAATCTCAATTCATATTGACTTGCAGACTTGTTAAACTATTATTTCTGTCAACTTGAAGCAAAGATGAATTAGCAATGTGTTGAGTTTGCCCCTCTCTCCTCCCATCCCTTGTTAACTACTTACCTTTGATTTTAGATTTTAGTGATTTAGCAGACGCTCTTATCCAGAGCGACTTACAGTTAGTGAGTGCATACATTTTTCATACTGGTCCCCCGTGGGAAACGAACCCACAACCCTAGCGTTGCAAACGCCATGCTCTACCAACTGAGCTAGACGGGACTACATAAACCACTACCTTATGTACATTCACATCTTCCCCTAACCCTGCCTTGTTAATAATGATAACATCTCAGATCCTTCCAACTGCTTTAGTCCCAAACCCACTCCTACATCTCATATCTATAGCCTTAAAGATGGAATCCGCAGTAGGGAAACCGGCCATGGCTGTTATTGTTTTTTTGACGAAGCAGAGCTGGGGAGCGTCGTGCCTCATGGTAAAAATAATCATGTCTGAGGGAAAAACAGTTCATTGTTTGCAGTAACTTCTGTTGTTGTTGTAATATCGCAAACGGCCATGGCAGTTTCACCAGCTTTAAAGTTGGAATCTGTAGTGGTGAAACTGCCACGTGATAGAACAGCATAGTATGTACTAGGATTCTTTTTTTACCATGACGCTGGAGCTCCTCTTCTCTGCTTAATAAACAAAACAATAACAAATACGCCTGGGGCGGCCAGTGGCACTGTTTCCCCTAATGCGGATCTCAGCTTTAATATTTCACAGATTTCCATTTTGATAAAAATTAAGACATGCAGCTAAAGATCAGAAACAAGAGGCAAAACATTGAGGATAGCAAAGTGATTGTTTAAATAGCCTTACAGAACAAAAAGCAAAACAAAGGAGTCCCCAAATACCAGCTATATCTGCCCCTTAGCAATAGCTTGAACTTAAAACGTACAGTATGAGTCATTTGAGAACTTAATCAAGCTGCAACTCTTTAGCTTATAGAGACATATTGGGAAAATAAACAATATATCGAACTGGTCTGTTTTACAGCACACTACCGTATCAATGTGTTACTGGGTATTTAGACATCAAACCTTGTCTGACTATGCACTGTAGATGACCCTTCTGAAGAGGGGTATATCAGCAGAGGAGTTGAATGTGACCTAACGGTGGGGTGAGACATGTACAAGAGATGTGGCCACTAGTGGGTGGGGCCATGATTCAAGTTTGACATAACATAACTTTTGCTTGGATCATTCTCCCATGTGTAAGGTAGGCAACACTAGTCTTGGCAAGCTTAGCTCCAGACAGACACTAAAACCATGTGACCTAACTAACATTAGCTTACCCCCTGCACAATATAAAGAAGTAAATTGACGCAGGAACAACTGATCAGTTAAATCGAATGACTTAACTCCTGACTGGGTTGAGAACTGGAGCTCCTCAGCAGCCTTGCTATATACAATTTACAGGCACACATACATACACAAACCACACACACACACACACACACACACAAATGCACATGATGCACATCTATCGCTTAGCCCAACAGCAGCGCCATTACTCCATGTGGCTCAGTGTCCATGTTCATGGTTAGTGCACTCGTTGTCCATTGATAACAACGTCATCAAACTCTTCCTACAGGAGGCAAACACAGACAACACTAGAGTTAATATGACTCCAGACTCCAGTGTCATGGAGTCATATAAACCCAATAATAACACTTACAGCCATGATGGACACTGTGTGCCTTTTGAAATGTCAATAAGTTTATGACAGACAAATAAAGAAGCTCATATCTGCATTGCCAACTAACTCCCCCAGACCACCCTCACCTCTTCACTCTCCCGCTCCTCTTCGTCCTGGGCCTGTGCGTCAGAGGCCCCTGCAGCCTTGAGCAGGGCCTGTACCTCCTTGTTGGGCCTGTGCAGGGAGCAGTAGAGGGCTGTGTGGCCTGCGTAGGAGGGCTGGTCTACACTGGCTCCCCTCTGCAGCAGCAGCAGCACCATCCTGGGGCTCTGGGACTCCACGGCCCAGTGGAGAGGGGAACGGCCTGAGCCCAGGTCCTGGAGGGGGAGAAATGGAGAGCGAGACAGTGAGTGGACCATCATAACCTTTAAGTGTAATTATCTTGCTCAGCAGGTGAGGGGACCTTTAATGACTTTAATGAATGAAGTGCTGAGGCATCTTGGAACCTAGCGGGCATGGAGGACCCACCCTGTCTATATCAGTCTGATACAGTAACTTACTGTGGGCTACTCACCCTCTGGTTAACATCAGCTCCTGCCTCAATCAGCATGCTGATTATGTCCTCCTTGCCCCTCTGTACTGCCAAATGCAGTGCACTCACCCCTGAAAGAGAGGGAAAGAAATAGAGAGGGAGGGTTTCATTACAAATAGAGAAACCTAAAGGTAAGACAGGGATGATAAAGTTACGGTATGCAAAGTTTCTAACGGTACAACGACAGGCTACACGTCGTCTGGGTGATCTGTGTACCTGAGTAGTTGGTGACGTGTAGATAATCAGTGCTCTGGCAGTTGGAGGTGATCTCTCGTACACAGTCCTGCCTCAGCTCCCTGACGGCCAGGTGCAGCGGTGTGTTCCCTCCCCTCTCCTGTAGTTCAGCGCTCGCACCGCCCCACAGCAGCCCCTGCACACACTGGGACTGGTCCACTATGACAGCCAAGTGGAGGGCAGTCTGACAGACAGGGAGAGGAAGTAAGGAGGAGGAAGAAAAGAAGTGGACATTGAAAATAGAGGAAAACACAATAGAGACAAAAAGGCCCCAAAGGAGGAGATTTGAGAGGGACAAGAGAAGAGTGAGGAGACCAAGTAAATTGTGGACACATGTTAATTGCATGTTAATACACCCCCCACTGGGAAACCTCCCTATGTTGGTGTGGCTGCTCTCAGCTCAGAAGAGCAGTGTGTCCCTGTGCTTACCTGTCCCAAGTGGTTCTGGATGTCCAGGTAAGGCACCCAGCTGCGGTCCAGAGCTATCACTCCCAGTAAGTACTGTACGAAGGCCCAGTGCTCGTGGATAAGAGCCAAGTGAAGAGCCCTATGAGCAAAGGAGATGTTTGCAATGACAAATAGCCAAACAAACTGCTGCTCATCATGTGAATAGTAAGGAGAGCCTACTCACGTGTCTCCATCCTCAGACACAAAGTTCAGTGTGTTGTGCATCTCCTCTCTCCTCCGTCTTTCCTCCTCTGGGCTCGGTGCTGCTTGCCTCCCACTGTCATCCACAGTGTAACTGATAACTGGTTCATTCAGGTGCATGGTCCCCAGCCCCTGTGATATACTACCCATCGTCTCATCTGTAATTGAGTCCCCTATAGCTGAGTCCAACCTCTCTCCACCCCCCAGTAAACTAAAGTCCATGGGGTGCTTGTCAGTGTCATCCAGTGACGGGTAGGAGGCCGTGTGAGGAGGGGACCTGGGCCCCCAGGTTTGGGATGTCTCATTGCTGAAGGAGACATCCAGGCTCAGCTCTCTTCCACTCAGACATTCTAGCCCACTGTCGCACCAATCATCCGGTGCAGAAGTACCCAGAGTTTCATGTTTGTCAAGCCCGAAGCCAAGTTCAGGCCGTGCATGCTGCTTTCCAAAATCGCACCTGGGCTGAATACCAGCCATTACGAATACTGTTACTAGCTAGCTATTCGTTTTTTATACTAGACTCCTTTGCAATAACAGCCGGTTAAAATCGACTGATATTTGCTTTTAGTAACCAGACAGTTTGCTAAAGCAAAGTAGCAGGCTAGCTGTGCTGTTAAGCTGGTAACTGATGTCCTATCAGTTAGTTAGTTAGCTAGCACGCTAAAGGTGCTAGGACCAGGCAAAGAAAACAGCACAGGGCGCTGCACCTAAGCTCTAGCTGATATCCTCAAAGTTCATCTTCACCTAAAAGGTTATTCACGGAGTAAAATAAATGTTAACGTTACCGTGCTACCTTGTTTACAGGTCAATGCGTCTCGCTAAAGGAGATGTCCTGGGGAATTCCCAAGCCTCTCCAGTCAAGTCTGTTAGAAGGAGTAGGTCCTGCGCGCATGCGTGTAATGACATATCCGATTGGTCCTTTATTACTGTACCACAGATAGAACAATGAGAAAAAATATTTGACTGTACTGCTCTTATAGTGGGATTAAATCAAAATGTATTGGTCGCGTACACCCTTTAGCAGATGTTATAGTGGGTGCAGCGAAATGCTTTTGTTACTAGCTCCTAACAATGAAGTAAAATGTCAAACAAGTACACAAGTAATCAACAACAACAAAAAACACACAACACACACTAAGAATTATATGTACAGCAGTAAATATATTAGTGAGCTATGTCAAGAATCCAGTATATAAATACACAGTACAAAACCCCACGGCAAAATGGATAGAATTGAGGGAACTTTGCTTCCGGACCAGAGTCCGGAATATAAATATACAGTGGGAAAAAAAAGTATTTAGTCAGCCACCAATTGTGCAAGTTCTCCCACTTCAAAAGATGAGTGAGGCCTGTAATTTTCATCATAGGTACACGTCAACTATGACAGACAAAATGAGAAGAAAAAAATCCAGAAAATCACATTGTAGGATTTTTTATGAATTTATTTGCAAATTATGGTGGAAAATAAGTATTTGGTCAATAACAAAAGTTTCTCAATACTTTGTTATATACCCTTTGTTGGCAATGACACAGGTCAAACGTTTTCTGTAAGTCTTCACAAGGTTTTCACACACTGTTGCTGGTAATAGAGCAGTGATGTTTTGGGGCTGTCGCTGGGCAATACGGACTTTCAACTCCTTCCAAAGATTTTCTATGGGGTTGAGATCTGGAGACTGGCTAGGCCACTCCAGGACCTTGAAATGCTTCTTACGAAGCCACTCCTTCGTTGCCCGGGTGGTGTGTTTGGGATCATTGTCATGCTGAAAGACCCAGCCACGTTTCATCTTCAATGCCCTTGCTGATGGAAGGAGGTTTTCACTCAAAGTCTCACGATAAATGGCCCCATTCATTCTTTCCTTTACACGGATCAGTCGTCCTGGTCCCTTTGCAGAAAAACAGCCCCAAAGCATGATGTTTCCACCCCCATGCTTCACAGTAGGTATACATTTACATTACATTTACGTCATTTAGCAGACGCTCTTATCCAGAGCGACTTACAAATAGATGCATTCACCTTATAGCCAGTGGGATAAGCACTTTACAATGTTTTGGGGGGGGGGGGGGTAGAAGGATTACTTTATCCTATCCCAGGTATTCCTTAAAGAGGTGGGGTTTCAAATGTCTCCGGAAGGTGGTGAGTGACTCCGCTGTCCTGGCGTCGTGAGGGAGCTTGTTCCACCATTGGGGTGCCAGAGCAGCGAACAGTTTTGACTGGGCTGAGCGGGAACTATGCTTCCGCAGAGGTAGGGGAGCCAGCAGGCCAGAGGTGGATGAACGCAATGCCCTCGTTTGGGTGTAGGGACTGATCAGAGCCTGAAGGTACGGAGGTGCCGTTCCCCTCAAAGCTCCGTAGGCAAGCACCATGGTCTTGTAGCAGATGCGAGCTTCAACTGGAAGCCAGTGGAGTGTGCGGAGGAGCGGGGTGACGTGAGAGAACTTGGGAAGGTTGAACACCAGACGGGCTGCGGCATTCTGGATGAGTTGTAGGGGTTTAATGGCACAGGCAGGGAGCCCAGCCAACAGCCAGTTGCAGTAATCCAGACGGGAGATGACAAGTGCCTGGATTAGGACCTGTGCCGCTTCCTGTGTAAGGCAGGGTCGTACTCTCCGAATGTTGTAGAGCATGAACCTACAGGATCGGGTCACCGCCTTGATGTTAGCGGAGAACGACAGGGTGTTGTCCAGGGTCACGCCAAGGCTCTTCGCACTCTGGGAGGAGGACACAACGGAGTTGTCAACCGTGATGGCGAGATCATGGAACAGGCAGTCCTTCCCCGGGAGGAAGAGCAGCTCCGTCTTGCCAAGGTTCAGCTTGAGGTGGTGATCCGTCATCCATACTGATATGTCTGCCAGACATGCAGAGATGTGATTCGCCACCTGGTTATCAGAAGGGGGAAAGGAGAAGATTAGTTGTGTGTCGTCAGCGTAGCAATGATAGGAGAGGCCATGTGAGGATATGACAGAGCCAAGTGACTTGGTGTATAGCGAGAATAGGAGAGGGCCTAGAACTGAGCCCTGGGGGACACCAGTGGTGAGAGCATGTGGTGCGGAGACAGCTTCTCGCCACGCCACTTGGTAGGAGCGACCGGTCAGGTAGGACGCAATCCAAGAGTGAGCCGCGCCGGAGATGCCCAGCTCGGAGAGGGTCTAGAAGGACAAGAGCAGAGGAGAGAGAGTTAGCTTTAGCAGTGCGGAGAGCCTCCGTGACACAGAGAAGAGCAGTCTCAGTTGAATGACCAGTCTTGAAACCTGACTGGTTTGGATCAAGAAGGTCATTCTGAGAGAGATAGCAAGAGAGTTGGCTAAAGACGGCACGCTCAATAGTTTTGGAGAGAAAAGAAAGAAGGGATACTGGTCTGTAGTTGTTGACATCAGAGGGATCGAGTGTTGGTTTTTTGAGAAGGGGGGCAACTCTCGCTCTCTTGAAGACGGAAGGGACATAGCCAGCGGTCAAGGATGAGTTGATCAGCGAGGTGAGGTAAGGGAGAAGGTCACCGGAGATGGTCTGGAGAAGAAAGGAGGGGATAGGGTCAAGCGGGCAGGTATGGTGTTCTTTGGATGCAACTCAGCATTCTTTGTCCTCCAAACACGACGAGTTGAGTTTTTACCAAAAAGTTATATTTTGGTTTCATCTGACCATATGACATTCTCCCAATCCTCTTCTGGATCATCCAAATGCACTCTAGCAAACTTCAGACGGGCCTGGACATGTACTGGCTTAAGCAGGGGGACACGTCTGGCACTGCAGGATTTGAGTCCCTGGCGGCGTAGTGTGTTACTGATGGTAGGCTTTGTTACTTTGGTCCGAGCTCTCTGCAGGTCATTCACTATGTCCCCCTGTGTGGTTCTGGGATTTTTGCTCACCGTTCTTGTGATCATTTTGACCCCACGGGGTGAGATCTTACGTGGAGCCCCAGATCGAGGGAGATTATCAGTGGTCTTGTATGTCTTCCATTTCCTAATAATTGCTCCCACAGTTGATTTCTTCAAACCAAGCTGCTTACCTATTGCAGATTCAGTCTTCCCAGCCTGGTGCAGGTCTACAATTTTGTTTCTGGTGTCCTTTGATAGCTCTTTGGTCTTGGCCATAGTGGAGTTTGGAGTGTGACTGTTTGATGTTGTGGACAGGTGTCTTTTATACTGATAACAAGTTCAAACAGGTGCCATTAATACAGGTAACGAGTGGAGGACAGAGGAGCCTCTTAAAGAAGAAGTTACAGGTCTGTGAGAGCCAGAAATCTTGCTTGTTTGTAGGTGACCAAATACTTATTTTCCACCATAATTTGCAAATAAATTCATTAAAAATCCTACAATGTGATTTTCTGGAAAAAAAATTCTCAATTTGTCTGTCATAGTTGACGTGTACCTATGATGAAAATTACAGGCCTTTTCATCTTTTTAAGTGGGAGAACTTGCACAATTGGTGGCTGACTAAATACTTTTTCCCCCCCACTGGTATGTATATGAATGGTGTGTATGGATAGTATGTGAATAGAAAAGGTGTGTATAGCAGTAGTTAAATAGGATGAGCCAGTACTATAATACACAATACAGTGTATCTAGAAACTTTGCATATATATACAGTGCATTCGGAAAGTTTATAGACTCCTTGACTTTTTCCACATTTTGTTACGTTACAGCCTTATTCTAAAATTGATTAAATTGTTTTTTCCCCCTCATCAACCTACACACAATACCCCATTATGACAAAGCAAAAACAGGTTGTTTGCAAATGTATTCAAAATTTAAAAAGGAAATATCACATTTACTTAAGTATTCAGACCCTTTACTCAGTACTTTGTTGAAGCACCTTTGGCATCGATTACAGCCTCGAGTCTTCTTGGGCATGATGCTAAAACCTGTATTTGGGGAGTTTCTCCCATTCTTCTCTGCAGATACGCTCAAGCTCTGTCAGGTTGGATGGGGAGCGTCGCTGCACAGCTATTTTCAGGTCTCTCCAGAGATGTTCGATCGGGTTCAAGTCCGGGCTCTGGCTGGGCCACTCAAGGACATTCATAGACTTGTCCCGAAGCCACTCCTGCGTTGTCTTGGCTGGGTGCTTATGGTTGTTGTCCTGTTGGAAGGTGAACCTTCACCCTAGTCTGAAGTCCTGAGCACTCTGGAGCAGGTTTTCATCACGGATCTCTCTGTACTTTGCTCCGTTCATCTTTCCCTCGATCCTGACTAGTCTCCCAGTCCCTGCGGCTGAAAAACATCCCCACAGCATGATGCTGCCATCACCATCGGTAAAACAGTATGTAAACATTATTAAAGTGACCAGTGTTCAATGACTCTATGGGCAGCAGTCTCTAAGGTGCAGGGTAGAGTACCGGGTGGTACGCGGCTAGTGACAGTGTGCAAGTAAAGTTCAGGGCAGGGTACTGGGTGGAGGCCGGCTAGTGGTGACTGTTTAACAGTCGGATGCAGTGGCGTGTATTCATGGATGCCAAGGAAAGCCAGGCTTTTAAAAAAAAACATAAAATAATGTATCTTTCGTCTCTCTGTGTTTCATCATTTTCCTTCAATTCGCAAGAGGCTGAATGCATCTCACAGGAGAAAGCATCCGACCGAGAAAAAACAGCGCCCCTCTGACTCTCTACGTGTAGGCCATCTATCTGATGCGGTCTGGTCCAAACGAGTATGACATTGTTGCCGCCCGTAGCATTGAAGGCAAGGGAAGCCAGTGAGCATCTGGCCTCCCTTGACAAAAAAAGTATAACAAATATGCCAATCAGCGTTGAGCTAAACTGAGCGAGCTCAACTGTGAATGGTTCTGGCGCACCAAAAAAATGTGTCAAGGGAAGCCATTTCGGATTTGGCATCACTCCTATCAAATCCCATTGAGAGCATACGTCATTGACAGAAAAACTTGAAT